TTAGGGCCTTGGAGGTGCTATGGTACCATGACGTGCAAGCATAGTCATAGTACCCTTGAATGAGTGCTCCTGCCAGAGTTTTCAGGGTGTTTTTGTTTACCAGAGAGGAGATCCGGTATAGGAATCTAGTTCTTTGATTGACTTTTTTTATTACATTGGATGCCATTTTGTCACAGGAGAGGTTTGCCTCAAGAATAGATCCTAGGTATGTAATTTCCTTCTTACTTGTGACAATAATGTCACCCACTGCAACTGAGAAGTCGTCGGATTTGCTGAGATTATGTTTCGAACCGAAGAGAATGGACTCTGTTTTACCCAGGTGTAATGATAATTTATTATCGGCGAGCCAGGTGCAGATTCTGCCGAGCTCGGAGCTGAGGGTTTTTTCAACCTGGAACCTGTTCCTGTCAGAGACCAGCAGGGCTGAGTCGTCCGCGAACAGGAACAAGTTGCAGTCACATGCTGATGACATGTCATTTACATAAATTAGGAACAGTAACGGACCTAATATGCTTCCTTATGGAACACCACAGCTCACTGGGAGGGGGGGGGGGACAGAGTACCGTTTACCTCCACCATCTGTTCTCTCCCCTCCAGGTAGGATTGCATCCAGCTCACCGATAGTTTATCAAAACCAATTGCTTTTAGCTTGTCAATCAGAATGGGGTGATTGACAGTGTCGAAAGCCTTTTGTAGGTCCAGCATCACCATGCCGCAGTACTTGCTCTCGTCCACCTCTTGTTTGATGTGGTCGCTCAAATAAAGAAGGCATGTGTCAGTGGAGTGGGATGTTCTAAAGCCAGATTGAAATTCATAGATTAGTTTCTTTTCCGCGAGGTACTTTTCGACCTGTTCATATACTATTTTTTCCATGACTTTCGAGATGGAGGTAAGTATAGAAACAGGGCGGTAGTTGCCTGGGTCCAATTTGCTGCCCTTTTTGTGCAGGGGGGTTACTCTTGCAATTTTGAAGTCTTTGGGTACTTTTCCCTGTTTTATGGAGAAGTTAATTATGTGAGCTATGACTGGTGAGATGGCGGTTGCTGTGTCTCTGAGGAATTTGGAGGGGATATTGTCGTGGCCAGTGGCCTTGTTAGGTTGGGAGGGCGCTCAGTTTAATGAGTACCTCTGCTGTTGTTACCCTTGCTAGACTGAAATCATCTTTGCGTACCCCTAGGTTTTTGTAGTAGGTCATGATGTGATCTACTCCAAAAAGCCCTGAGTGGGAGGGTAATTTATTTACAAGAGTTGTGGCTATGTTTGTGAAAAAAATGTTCAAGTACTTGGCCACATCCAGTTTGTCTGTGATGAGCCTGTTATCTGTCTTTATGTTTAAGTTAGAAAATCTCGTTTTGAGTTTTTTTACCGCAGCCAAGCTGGTTATTGAGTAATTCCAAAGTTCACAGGGTTTATTTTTGTTTTCCTCAGTTTTGACATGATGAAATTCTTTTTGGCAGTTTTGATCATGGAGCTTACGTCATTTCTTAGTCTGTTTCTTTCAATTTTGAGTTCAGTCACGTGGGCCTGGAGTTCACTGCTCGTGCTTTTGGAAAGCATTGACTGACTTTTATGAAACTCAGAGCATTTTTGTCTCTGGTTTTCATGGCGGTCAGTATGCCGGAGTGCATCCACGGCTCAGCGCGATTTATTACCCTGGTTGTTCTTAGGGGGGCCAAATCATTGAGTATTGCAGAGAATTTGTTTTTGAAACCACTCCATGTTTCTTCAACTTGTGTACCACTGAGCTCATCTGACCAGTCCAGGCTCTCCAGTTCTAGGTTAAAGGCCTCGCTAGAGTAGTTTTTGAGGTCTCTAGATATGACTGTTTTGTGACAGCCGGCCCTTTGTTTTAGCTTTTTGCGGGTACAGAATATCATATAATGATCACTTAACCCGCATGCTATAACCCCTTTACTGGAGATCCTGGACTTGTCAGAGGTCAGAATGAGATCAATGGTAGTTTGTGTTGTTTCACATACCCGGGTGGGTTGGGTGATTAGCTGGCTGAAGCCGTGCAGATCACAAATCCTACTGAAGGACTTGAAGACGGACGTGTCTTTACGTTGCATATCCGTGTTCCAGTCTCCAATAATAATTGTCTCTACATCCCCCACATCAGCCAAACACCCATCTAATGTATCATAAAAGTCACTCTGTTCCGGTGGTCTATAGATTGTCCCGACTATTACAGATTTAGCATTGTCAAAAATCATTTCAACCCACACGGCTCGTCTACTTCCGGTCCCTGCCTTTCGCGGTAGAGCGTCATGGTTTCAAAATGAGTGTACGGAAAAAAATATTTAAAACAGAGCATATGCAAAGGCAAACTAAGAAATACTCTGAACATTGCTGTGTCCCACTGTGTTCAGCGTCGGCAAAATGTAATGGTGTTTTGAGTTTTCATGGCTTTCCAACCCAACTCAACCTAAGAAGACAGTGGCTTGTAAATATACGCCGGGAGAACTTCACCATCACTTCTCACTCCAAGGTCTGTAGCAGACACTTCGCCCCCGATCAGCTAATAAATCCAACGACACTTGATGGTCGAAGGAGGCTCGTTAAAGATGCCTTACCTATGCTGTTTGAGTGGAACAGCTTTACTTAAAAAATACCACGACCTGGTGTGTGGGAAAGAAGAGAGCGGCCCATTGAACCGGTCCCTCCTGAGGAGCACGAATAGCCCTGCGATCTCACTGATCACGACTACTGCTCAGTCCCTGAACCATCTGCACTGGATATGTCTTATTCAGCGACTGAAGACTTGTCCAAAGAAATAGAGGATCTCAAAAAGAAATTGCAGGAGTTGCGTGTCCAGCGAGAGTTTGGGTTACAGCGGTTTGCTGGCTCGGACGCCGACATCAGATTCTATACCAGGTAATGCCTAAATTGTATCCAGTACAGCTAAAAAGGTTTATAAGTAGTCCTGTGATCAGTTTTTTGTCAGAATTGTAAATAATATTTTACCGTTTTGCTACTGACTATTTTCATCAGTGTGTGTGTGTGTGTGTGTGTGTGTGTGTGTGTGTGTGTGTGTGTGTGTGTGTGTGTGTGTGTGTGTGTGTGTGTGTGTGTATATATGTCAATCAACAGGTAAAGCAGATTAATAATAATATTAATAATAATAATGATAATTATTGCAGATTATAGATCATAAATCATTTAGGGACAAGGGGGTGAGATTAAATAAATTATACTTCTTCTCACTCCTTTTCGAACACTAGATTTGGGACTGTTTATGTTGTTAATGCTGTTGTTGTAAATGTCATTTTTTGTTTTGATTTTTTCTTACATGACTATGCACTGCAACATTTGTTTTGTTTTGTAATTATTTATTTGACTTGTTCGAAATAAATGTATCAATCAATCAATCAATCTATGTAACGTTAGTGGTGGAAAAAGTATGTGTAGGCCTATGTGAAAGTTAACTTTACTCCTTACAATGACACAATCACCTGTTTGTTACAGCTTGAATTTACTGTACTATGTCGATTAATGATTGACATGTATGTTCTGTGAACAGATTCTCAAGCTATGACAACCTCATGGCTTTCTGGTTTTTGATGGAGCCTTCCATTTATAACATGGTGCGGGTGTCAAGAGCCAAATTCGCTGCCAAGATAAATGAAGAAGTGGTTACACTTGCACGTCCATCTACGGTAGGCTATGGTCTGAGTGAGCTTTCTTGGCTGATACAGAGCCAGAGGTGAAGTGGGGAGAGGGTCCATGTGTTGTTGTTTACATTCAGTAAATACAGACCATAATATATTTAACCGACAAGCGGCAGTTAATAGCTTAAGAAGTATTAACTGTTTTTTCTTCTTTTACTTCCCAGCGACAACTGCTGCAGCCAATTGATGAGTTCTTTCTTTTTCTTGTCTTCCTGTCGGTTGGTTTGAAGGAGAGGGACCTGGGTCATCGTTTTAATATTCACCAGTCCACTGTGAGCCGCATCGTTGCTACATGGACAAGTTTTCTTGCTACTCTACTGGGGTCACTATGCATTTGGCTTACACCTGCAGAAGTCCAAGCGTACCTCCCTGATGCATTCAGTGATTTCCCAGACACACAGGTGATCCTGGATTGTACAGAGCTGAGGTGTCAAACACCCTCCTCACCCCTCCTCCAAAGTGAGATGTACTCTACTTACAAATCCCACTGCACCATGAAAGCCCTGGTTGGCATAGCCCCACATGGTGCCGTGACATTCGTCTCCAATCTGTACGCTGGCTCTGCTAGCGATAAGGAGATATTCAAACAGTCTGGAATAGCCGAGAAGTTGACAGACAACATGACAATCATGGTAGATAAGGGCTTCCTAATCAGGGATTGCTGCAAATGCAAAGTGTACTGCCCACCTTTTCTGTCAAAGCAGAAGCAAATGCCAGCCTACCAGGTTAGGGAGACACAGGCCATTGCCAGACTGAGGGTACATGTTGAGCGTGTCATAAGGAGGATAAAACAGAACAAACTGTTTGATGGTGTCATCCTCCTATCCCATGCCTACAACATCAACCAACTATTTGCAGTAGCATGTATGCTGTCAAATTATCAGAACAAGGCATTAGTAAAACAATGGGTAAAGTACAACAAGATAGACATGTCAAGCCATATTGTTTTAAACTAATCGGATCTTATTAATTAGTGTAAATGATTAAAAAGTGTATATTTTTCTATTAACTTCTTCATGGACTTGTACTGTTAAAGTCAGTTTTTTTCTGTTTTCACCATTTATCCATAATTATATTTCAAATTAGCTGAGCTACTCTACAATTTTCACATAACCTGTCATACATCCCAAATGATTTATACACAAATGTTTTACAATGTTTAGAAAATATCACTCTGTTAAATTAAAAATGTTTAATTCATTTTCCCAAAAAGTGAAATGTCACAAATAATTGTGTTGATTAAATAAAAAGTGTAATGTTGTAAGAAAACAATGTTCTTTTTTGTGTTACAAAGAAAATATTTTAATCACATTTTTGTCATCGGTCTTAGAAGGTGCTATGTTAAACATTCATAACATGTGATTCAGAGTTAGCTTCCTCAAAATGGCTTACAATGCAGGAGGGGAAATGTTCAGTGGTATTTATTTGAATGAAAGGCACTTAGGCATGTATGTGTGGGAAAAAAAAGCGTCAACCTTTTCTCGGATTGCAGTTTGCACTTCTGGATCGATGTATATCCGTTGCACAAGATAGTCCTCCTGCGCCCACACAACAAAGTCACACCACTGCATCCCAGTGACAAGAAGTTGACCTTGCACTTGCCAGTAGTATGCATGGCTTTTCTTTAGCTTAGGGGAACCACATTCCATTTTTACATATTTGCAGTCGACATAGTTTTGAACATTGGGACATTTGAACTCAACAAGGCCAAATTGGGGGTATTCAGTGGGGTCAAAAACAACTCCATCGGGGGAGGCACCAAGCTAGGAGGTAGCAGGGTGAATAGTTTACATTCGCTAGTTTACTGTACTCGACTGATACTGTGGGCTTCATCTCAGAACCTCTTCTCATGTCCGCCGTCTGCCTTGTACCTTTCATGATCCGCTCTGCAAGTGACTCTGCAGAGCTCTTGCTTCTGACATGACACACCTCTCGAAATCTAGACGCGGTCACCCTCGGTCTGCGAAGCTGATGCCACTCTGAGCAAGAGCTTTGCTCACAGGTAGCCTCCTCAATTGTGTGTGCCATTTTCATAGTAACAGATAAGCTGGTCATATGCAGTAGCTCCTCTTCAGAACATACAAACACACACTCACATGGCAAGATGTCATATCCCTCTAGAGGCAAGTGTGGTGTTGGTGGTGCACCATTGTGAAGAACGATGTAACGAGATTTCAAAGCAGGCATCTGATATGACGGAACACTGCCCTCCTGCACCATCCCGAAGGCACTTTCCACAAGGGGCTTGTCGGCTCTCATGTTCATTGTAGTCACAAGTGGCCTGTCCTCAATACTGCATTTTTCATAGGCCTCCGTTACTCTGAACATGCAAGGATCGGGTAATGGACCCACCATGCCTCTGTAGAATCCACTTCTGCAAATAGATGAAAATACAATATAGCCTATTAACATTTGACAGTAAAGGTAAGAATACAGTATCAGAATCCCATTTTGCATTGGTAACACAGGAAAAATGACCTCACTCCAGTCGTGACCATCCTATTAGGTACAGGTTTGGTGAAGACCTTGGAGTTGATGGGTCCTGGCTTCACACCCTAACAGAGAGCACATTTGCATCGTGTGGAGTCACTTTAAATGAAAACAGTCAAACAAGAACACTTTAAAACCTCAATTAAATTACCATTGTACGTGGCTTGTGCCATTGCTGTTCTGATTCTGTGCAGCTATGGACAGGGGGCACGACTGGTATGTTCAGTTGACTATAATAAGCTGTTTGGTAAAGCAGTGCCACAGTGTGATTGCACAAAACAGTGCCTGCAACACAGTTGCAGGCACTGTTGTTAACACCACCGGCGAGGAATCACGAAGCTTTATCTAAGAAAGAAAGAAAAAATACTGATTAAAAATACAACCTCTTCTTCAAAGAAAAGAGCCAGGAGGTTATTACATTACATTACATTGCATTTAGCTGACGCTTTTATCCAAATCGACTTACAATACTTATATTCGACCAGGAAGACAACCTTGAAGAAAACAGAATCATATAAGTACATCAGGTTTCATAGAGCCAAACATTTCAAGTGCTACTCAACTGGCTTTAGATAAGCCAGTCCTTTATTAGTATATAAGTGCTCTGTTAGCAGTTATTTGTTAGTAATTATATCGCTCGAGGTGGAGTCGAAAGAGATGAGTTTTCAGTCTGCACCGGAAGATGTGCAGGCTTTCTGCTGTCCTGATGTCAATGGGGAGCTCATTCCACCGTTATCATTTGTAGCAGGCCCGGTTCTACGGGGGTGCATTGCACCCTCATTTGAAAAATTAAAAGTGAACATTTTTTTTTTTTTATAAAGTGAAAAAAAAAAAAAAAGGGAAAGATATTACATATATAATAATAATAATAGTAATAAGAAGAAGAAGAATATAGTTGAAATAAAATAAATTGTAATTGTGGTTAAATAACATTGTCTGCTGCATTTATTTGGTCAATTTAAACGGTAGCCTAAGTAACGTTATTATGTCAGGTGTGCGTGACCTGTGCCAACACAGTCTCACTCCCTGAACGTCCAGGAGCGACGCTTGGTCAGGGTCCTATGGCGTGCAGATGTGACGTGCCGAGTCTCCTCTGAGCGTTCATCATCTGCAAGGTGCTTACACGGCAGTCAATGATGGACATCAGAAAATGGTTAAAACAACCAGCCCTTATCGCCACACTGCATCTACTGCATCTACTGCAGGTAATAACAGTTCAGATCATGGGGACATTACGTTTCCCGCGGCCACTGTCGTGGACACTAACGTCCTCCCGCCCGACTTGCCGGCTTTGCCCGCCTCGCCCACGTCTTCGTTGCCCCAAACACCGCCACGCCTCGGCGGCCCGCAAGTGCCAGAGGACCTAGGCAAAACAGAGCCTGCCCAGGTATATTAAAAAAAGTACCCAACTCGCCTGTACAGTGGGGTAAGGCGCTCATTTTGCAGCTCATGGTTTCAAAACAGAGATAGGCTGGAATATTCCTGTAAAAAAGATGCCATCTTCTGCTATGCATGTAGACATTTCGGTCTTAAAAGGGGAGTGATTTGTAAAATATCCATAAAAAAAAAGTAAATCTGTGTATAGTTCTGTTTCATATGGGTGTTGAGATGTATCCAATCCATAGATCTCTTCATGTTGCCCTCAAAGTGCACCAGATTGATGCTTTTAACTTCAATATTTAAAAAAAAAATCTTCCCGGGAGAGCATGCCCCCGGACCCCCCTAGAGGAGGTGAGGACCCCCCTAGAGGGTGTTGAGCCCACTCCCCACTTATAAAAATAGCACTTTACCACTGCACCCTCTCTAATCTCAGATGCACCCTGAGTCATTTTGTTCTGGAACCGGGCCTGATTTGTAGAAACATGTTATTGATACTGAACCATGATCCTAGTAATAGTAATAACAATAATACATTATAATACATTTTATCCACAGAGCGCCTTTCAAGGTAGTTAAAGACACTTTATATACACAGGGTAAAATTAAGTAAAAGTTTAGCTTTCAGAATTCTTAGCATTACCTTCTCTCCATTCTTATCACATTTACATCTCATCATTATCAATATATAACTGATTATCTGACCATTCAATTAAGTTAGGATAAAGCAGGGAGGCATTGGAAACATTTCTTTAACTAGTGAATAACTGAACCCCACTGAACAGGGGTGAACAACGTTTTTTTCCCCTGCCTACACTCTAACTGTGCGGTGTCTCACTATTCCTCATTGACCGGTAGCACAAGGCTCTCACGCTGACCTGACCTGTCAGACTGTCTTTGTTGGACACTGAATGAAGAAAAACAGAGTGTTGGGTTAGATATATTACACACGTCAAAATAATGGCTATGTTACTTACAAATAGCATGTAATACTAGGCACTTACCTTTCTACCACGTAGCATAACAGTGGCTATTAACAAGTCTAACTTTAGTTAACCAGGCCCACTAACGTTTTAAATAATTAGGATCAGATAGAGTGCATAAAGTAAGACAAAAGTGTTGATTATAAATAGCGAATTTGTACAACAAAAGCTTGCATTTTACATTAGCCTAAATTAGCATTAGCTAGTTAACTAGTCAATCCGTTTATAAATTTGTTTTACCTTCGTAATCATGAATATATGATGCAGCATATAACTTGAACCCTTTGTCCAATTTGCTGGCTGGGGATTTAGTCGTCCTGCAAATTCGATGAACATCGGTAATTTTCAATTTCGGGAGCTCTTGTAAACACCGGGGCCCTTTCTCATTTCTCTAACTCCCCTCCTCGATTCCCCTCCTCGGCTCCTATCCTCTAGACTTAGTCCCGCCCACAGGAGATGCGAGCGGAGGAGCCGAGGAGGGGAACCGAGGAGAGAGGAGGGGAAGCAGCAGGCGGTTAGAGAAATGAGAACTCCTCTCCTCTGAGCGGTCATTTTAAAGAGACGTCCATTAATGATGACAGGAGGCACAGCAGCCCTCTGTCTGATGGACAGATGTGTTCATGATGACTTATATATTTACTTTGATTCATTCACAGTGCGGCAGTGGTGTAGTGGGGATTTTTTTACTGGGGGGACGCTATTTTAATTAGGTCATCCCAAACAATGCCACACAAGTGCGCACGCGCGCAGTGCACTCACAAAACGGGCAGACATGCAGATCCACAGAAACTACCGGTATGCTTAGTCCTACTTTAGTTACTGTACTTCAAAAAGCAGACGGCGCTGCGCTCAACACACACATAGACTCAAAACCATGGACACACTGGCACATAAGTTACAACAATTTATAGGCCTAAATTGCATAAGCTACAACTAAGCAGACAGCGCTGCTTCTCTCTATCTCCACTTTCAAAATCTATTTAAAACTCATAACAAACAAACACAATTCCCAAAGTTGTCCTGAAATTAACTTATTAAATAAACGAAACGAAAAATATAGCCTATTAATGCAAACATTGAATCTGGACTTGAAATTATTCTGATTAGGCCTAGCCTACATTGCAAATAAGCAGACAGCGCTGCTTCACACACACACACACACACACACACACACACACACACACACACACACACACACACACACACACACACACACACACACACACACACACACACACACACACACACACACACACCCCTTGCGTTTTGAAGACTGATAAATCCGAAATGGATGAACAGCAGCCCAGTCTCCCAGCTTTGCAGTCTATCCACGGGTAGCCTCAAAATCGGCGGGCGGTGAGCTGGCCGTGGGTGTGTCACTGACACACCCACGGCTCGCTGTGGGGTCACGAGCGTGATGACGAATCATCATTTTTGAAGGAAATCGTTTTTATTTTTTATTATAGGCCATTACTGTGAAATGTATTATGTTTTTGTCATTATTACAACAAATACACACTTGCAACTGATAAGACTGGCAATGATTTTATATTTATTAGACTATTGAAAAAAAGATCATGCTCCAAATAAGTGGGGGTACGGCGTACCCCTGCGTCCAACGCCCACTACACCACTGCAGTGCGGTATAATGAGACAATAACAGGCTACAGATTCGGACACACACACACACATATATATTTGTATATATTTATATAAATATATACAATTTCAGAATCAAACAGAGCACTCTCATAATAACGTAACACCTCTGGTCACTACAATGAGGAAAATAAATTACGGGCCAAAAGTTTTATTTACAAGTATTAAAAGTAAGCAGAGGACACCAAACCAACCGAGACCTGTCTGTCCGCTGCATCAACGCACACACTGTACCACACACACCTACACCACACACACGGACCTACAGCTCCTAAAACAGGCTGCAGCCGTTGTGTATTTTATTATGTGAAGCACTAAATGGTTTTAGAAAAATATCGACTCTTTGTTTGTAGATATCTACTAAACTAAAGCAAATAAAGAGAGTAGGCCTGTTATACTGAGTGATATATATTATACACACTGCTCTGCTTTCTGCACGGACCTCACAACTGTTCTCTCTGGAAACATCGCGTCGCGATGAAAGCAGTTAATAAAATAATATCCAGGGGATGCATGCAGAGCTGTCATTGGCTGAGATAAATCCGGCTGTGCGTCACGACGCTTTGAAACATCTCTGTTCCCGGAAATGCATCCACGAAGGAGCCGTGGAGGACCGTGGAGGACCCATCAGTGTATCCTCGGTTAGAGCTCCTTCAGAGAGCCTCCTCGACGCTCGATCCTCGGTCCTCGAAGTGCATTTAGAGAAATGAGATGTCCTTCAACATGGCGCGCTGAAATTCATTTCCGGGTCACTACCGGAGGACCGAGGAGTCGAGGAGGGGGATTTGATGAAATGAGAAAGGGCCCGGGTGTAGAACGTCGCCATTGTTGTTGTTGTACCGGAAACAGTTGGGCAGTACTACGCACAATGCGGAAGTGACTGTGACCGGAAACAGACGTAGGTATTTCGAGCGATTACCCAAGATCCTCAGCTATGGTTTAAGCTTGCTGATTGGATGTTTTTGCCGCAATACATGCTGGGATTTGGGATATGATATGAAATCCGGAAAACATTTAAAAAGAATAAAAGAATACTTAATTCCGAGTGTTCTTGCTTTTCTCTTTGAAAGTCATCACATAACGGCATTGTAATATACGGTTCGGCTGCATTGTATATTACAGATCTGCTGTAGTTCTTTATTTATAGAGCCCTGATCAGAAGACCTTTGGAAAAACTGGAAGAAATGCCGCCGAAACTGAATACTTGACGTGGATCATAAATATATCAACAATTAAACAACATCTTCAATTTCTTTTCACACAATACGTCTCCTTGCAGTATCAACACTAATTCGGCTGACTTTTACATTTGATCTAATTCACAGATAGGTTATATTTACACCATAACGGTGCACAGCTGATATAAAAGGACTTGTAGTTTTTAAAGATATTACTGATTTTCTTTGAATATAAGAATGTAAATACTGAGTCTGAAATAATATAGCAATATGCTGTAAAATGATGTGAAAGCATGAATAAAACTACACATCTTCAGATGTTGTACATACATAAGTGTCCTACACTAATAATACAAAGTTATTATGGCTGTGTGTGTACCTTGCCTAGTGGTTAAAGCACGTTATTGAATTATTGTTTTTATGTGTTATATTTGATTAAAAAAATATTAAGAGTACATACTTTCATAGGGGGAAAGTAGAAGGTCAATGATAGAAATATAGAATATAAAAAATCAAGAAGATACTATAAGTGATCTCTACAATAAAACAGTTTAGTGCAGGATGTACAAAGATATTAATAGGAGGAGGTGCAAAACAGAAAAACGAATTAACCTTTATTTAAACATTAAATAATACTTTAGATAAAGGTCTTCTTTTAAATAAGAAAAAAACTTTGGGGGTATCAACAGATAAATATTAAGCCTGACAGAGTACTTAACGTCTAATATATTGCTTTCCTGCCATGTTAACTATGTTGAAGCACTTATTTTAACTGATATTATACACATTAATTATACTCTTATGTATGTAGATAGTATAATAAATGTGCAGAATTTGACAGTTTAATGGTGGAGGTACACACATATTGATAGATGTCTTGTAATGCGCTGTTGAGGAACCTGTGACCCAAGTTTTTCATTCATTGCATAACTACACCGTAGTTGTGTATATGATATGTCAATAAACCTTTGGAAATCTTGAAAGGCATGTGCAAAATAGGCATAATATACAGTCTTTAATTAACTATTAGTAGAGAATAACGAGTAATGAATATACTTTATTACTTGTTTCCATTCATGTCAATTGCAGATACATGTTTAGTCTTCTCAAGCACCAACTATCAAATATCTCTCCTGACTGTTGGCACTTGACAATCACCTTCCCTGAATTTTACTCAGGTGTAACTAAAGCCTGATTTAAGGGTTGTTTATATTTCACATCATTAATCAGAATCTGCAAAGTAACTCAAATAAATGTAGTGGAGTAAAAATACCAGGTTAACCTCTGAATTGTAGTGGAGTAGAATTACAAAGTAACAATGAGCTGTCATGTGGGTTATGGACACAAGCGATTTTCACCCATTTATTAATTATATGATTTACATTTGATAACACCAATGTGTTTAATACTGGCAACTTCTAATTGTGGGAAAAACAAAAATGTTCTGTAGAGACGTCCCATAGAACATTTTGCGAAACACAATAGCCAGCATGTGTAGTTCTGGGGGGGCGTTCGATTCCAGTTTTGGATAGTCTGGCGTGGTTTTGTTCCATTTCACACAGCTGTTTGACGCTCTGCGTAACCTTGGCGCACTGCCACTCCAACATCCAATCCCAGAGCTTGAAGATTAATCACGGGGACTGTAGTCCTAAACGATAGCTGGGGATTATGGGTAGTGTAGTGTCTTCGGACATCCTAAACTCCTAGAGGCCTACGTCTGTTTCCGGTTAATTTTATTTTGAAATTCAGTTCCTGACGGACGCCAAAAAAGCCCGAAATTATGGAATTAAACCAATAAATAAAAGCAAGGATAATTGTGTGTTATTAGTGAGTAAATAACAGTGTGTTATTTTGAAAAGAATAACAAAGTAGAAGGAAAAAAAGATTGAAAAAATACAGATTTCAGTATTCTGAGGCTCTGAGCCCCATTTCTTTTCCTCACAGACGGCAACAAAAGTCAGAAATTATACGATTTAAAATAAAAGCAATAATTGTGGCTTGATATTAAGTAAGAACATGTTTTTATGAACCACACAGCTTCCGGTCTTCCACGACCCGACCGGAGAAAAAGACGTGCTGCAGGCACGAAACACATTACCAGTAGAAATACATTGATTTTAAAATCGTGCTGTACAACACGAAAAAAAGGGGAAAATCGTGTTGGTGAACACGAATCAATAGATTAAAAATCGTGTTGGTGAACACGAAATGCCATGAGACTGGGTTGCACTACTAGCTAGTCTCCAGAGGCTGCTGAAACAGGCCTAGTTGTCCACTCACCTGACCCCAGTTCTAATACTGGCACCTACTAGCTAAACCACTCCCACACTCTGAAAACATCCTCATCAAAGTGTCATGATTCTTGTGTTATGTCACGTTTTAGTTTTGTATGTCTTGTTATGGGTGTGTTTCTGTTCTCTCTGTCATGTTGTCCTCCTTGTGTATTGTCTGGTCCCTCTCTCTGGGTTTTTCCTCCCTGTCGTTAGTTTCCCTGGTGTGTCTAATTGTTTGATTGTGTTCACCTGTGGCCCTTGTGT